GTCAGATGATTATGAAGGCAGAATTTCTTAGGGGCGGTGTCAGCGAGATCCTGTAACCCAGGGGGTCTGAGCTACGGTGCTGTGCTCCCCCAGGGGACGCTTCCCAATGTCTGGAGACATTTTTGCTTATTACGACCTGGAGGTGCTACTGGCCTCCAGTGGGTGGAGCCCAGGGATGCCACCCAACGCTCTACAAGGCAAAGAATTATCCAAACTCCAAATGTCAATAACGCCAAAGTGGAGAAACCCTGATTTAGACTTTTGAGGTTATGACCCAGTGTGTCATCACTGACCCCTGAGACATGGATTTCCACTGACCCATGTTAACATGTCTCGAAAATCCCGCGTTGGCATTTTGTAATTTTTTCATATAGCAAGAGTCATAAAAAATATAAAAACGGAAGTGGCCCTGCTGGGAGGGGCTGACTTGGGGTTCAGCCCCAGAAAAATGGATGCCCTGGGTCACTCCGCCAGGGCAGGGCTGATCTGGGTCATGGATTGAGCCCCAGAGAGCAGGGCATCCTGCTGGGAAGTGTACCTGGGAAGGGACAGTCTCTAGAGAGTATGGGCTCTATGGTGTCGTCTATGTCTGTCTGCATCAGGGCCTCCCTGGTGGTCCTCAGGAGAGCAGAGGGAGGGCAAGGGGGAAGAGAATGGAGAGTCAGGGTGGTCTTCCAGCCCCTGGGGTTGCTGGGACCTGGCTGGCAATGCCTGAGATGTGAAGAAGCCAGAGACGAAGAAAGCCTGTAGGCATGAAGGCAGAGGGGGTTGGGGTGGGCTGATGTCACTTGTATCCCATGGCTGCCCCACCCTGGGAGGTAAAACGTGCCAGGCCCCCAGGCAAGCCGACCCTCCCTGGTAGCATGCTTTCGCCTACCACCCAGAAAGCCGTCGAGGCTCTCCCTCCGGGAATCCGAAGACCAGATTTATACTGGTGGTGCTGAGAGTCCAAGATCCGGATGTGGCCAGTGAATAGAGCCAGGGACAAGAAAAGGAGCTGGATGACGGGCTGTTAAGAGCCTGTGTTTTTTTTTTTTCTTTTTGGCTTCAGGAGCGGGTCTGCCCACAGAGCTGAGGGCAGCTGCGCAGGGTCTCAAGCCCCAGGAGCGGGTATGCAGAAGGACTCCCCACTGCAGTTTTGCACCCATCTGCCTGCCCGGCCCTGGGCAGCCATAGTGTGAGGCAGGACATTCTATCTTGCCAGTTTCGTATGGAAATGGATTTCAGCCTCTAAAGAGGCTATTGGCTCTGCACCCCACCCCCCCAAACCAGCACTGTAAGCGAGCTAGCTCTATGCTGTGAGCCACACGCCAGTGTTGGGAGACATGCAGGATGCCGAAGAGAGGGTTTCCCATGCAGTCTGGTGAGACCCTGTGGGGAAGCTCACAGTACCCCCACCTCTTGCCGGGGGTCACAGCCCCGATTGAACCGGGTTGGCGTCATCAGGGAGCCCCGAAAGAGCAGAGGATGGGCTCCTGATTTTGCAACGGAACGCAGAAAGCAAAATCCCATTTTAAAACACCAGGTTAAGTTACTACCTCGGGATGACCAGCAAGCACAGGGAAGCGGCTGCTGGGCATTTCAGGAGAAATCAGGCATCAGCACTTGGGGAATACTCGTGAGGTGGGGGGGATTCCCAGAGACCCAGAACATTCCGCGCACTAAATGGACCACCCTTTCTGAGGTCTGCAAAACCCAGGAAAGGCCTGCCTTCTAATTGTGTGTGATCTGTCCACCGTGTGGGGGCCACACTGCCACCCCATCTGTGAGCCTCAAGGCATTGACATGCACCCCAACTCCCAGTCCACCTCGGGGCGGGGGTGGAGTCTGTTTTGCCTATTATTAATGATAATGGTGATATTTTAGCCAGATCCTGTTCTAAGTGCTTTGAGTGTGTCAGCTCATTTGTGCTTTAGCTCGTGAAACCACAACCCTAGGAGGCAGAGGCTGTTTATATGCCCATTTCACAGGTGGGGAAATGGAGGCCCTGGGAGGTGGAGGATTTCACACACAGTTGAGGCTGGGAATAAAGTCCATACATTCCAGGTCCCAAGGCCCTGATCTCTTATCACTGTGGGAGGTGGTAGTTATTTGGTTACTTGGTCTTTAAAAAAAGGGGGGGAGGGGAAGGCTGTCAGTCGAATGGGCGTCTTTCAGGAGGAAAATGTTGCCGGTGTGACCAGTAGCTGGTGTGAGCCGTGTGACTGTCACGTGCTCCGTGGCCTGGCCTCTGTCTGTGCCATTGTGTCTGCCCACCATGCTCCCTGAGTGCTGTGGGCTGGCTCCGCTGTGCGAGATCTCATGCCACCACCCAAGTCTGTGCTCTCTTTGTCCCCTGGGTCACTGACTCCTTTCCGGAGGTTTCCCTTCTCCCCAGCTCCTCCTGTCACCTCTCCGCCCAGACCTCAGACCTCCCTCCACTGGGCCCGAATTCCCTTCCCCCTGCCCCTGGCGGAGTCCAGCCCTGGGCATGAACCCAGCCTGGCACGGGCCCTCTCCAGCTGCAGAGAGGGGGAGACGGAGAGTTCTGGAAATTGCTGTTGCAGGACAGGGATGCTGAATGAGCCTTAAGAGGAGATAGGCCCTCCCCATTCTGGCCCTCCCAAGTCCAGGGGCATACACCAGCTCTGTGGAAGCCGTGCCTGGCGCTGGTGGGGGTGGGGGACAACGGAGCATTCTCTGGCCTTGCCCGGTGGATAGCCCGCCTCCCACTAACACTCGCCGCCAGATACGCCTTGGAGTACATCCCCGAGGAGGCGTGCTCAGAATAGAAGGATTTTCTGGGAGACCGGTGGGGGAGGGGCGGAGGAGGGCTGACACCTGCTGACCTCAGATGCGGCTGGGGTGTGGCAGGGGCTGCTTCCTGGGTTCCCCTCAATGCCCGCCCGCTCGCCTGGCATCGAGGACATTCTCGGGGTGCCTGGTGCAGGTGTCGGCGATGTAGCTGCTCTCATAGTTGAAGGGAGCTGGGTTGGGCAGGGACCGTGCCAGGAAGCGGGGCCTTAAGAGACTTGTGGTCATCTTATGCCACCAAACACGAAGGTCCCCAGATGCTTGCAGACCACGGCCACGTGGGGGCTCTTCGTGAGGGTTGGCAAGCTTACCTGCAGGCCCTGGACCCGGACCACCTCTCCCAGGCTGGTCTGCGGGCCACACTGGAGAGGGGAGGGGTCACCACCGGGGGGCAGGGGTGCAGCACGAGTGGGAGCTCCCCAAGCCTGTGTCTCAGACAATCTGCATTTCTCCCTGTCAGTGGGGGACAGGTGGGGCTGGGTTCCCACCAAGCCAGGCAGAAGGGCATCGCTTCCCGTGTCACCAAGAAGGAGGGTGGGCATCCCCCTATTTTATGTCAGACCTGGGCGGGAGTCCCACATCCGGAAGGGGCGGGACTTCCTGCTACACCAGGAGAAACGTGTGGGCTTCCTCCCAAATGTCAGAAAATGGGGGTGGGGGGGAACGACTTTCCTTTTCACCAGGATAAAGAGGCAGGATGTCCCCTCTATGTTTGAAAGAGGTTTCCCAGCTCCCCAGAAGAGGGGCAGCACCGCATCCTGCTTTATCAATATGAGCGGTGGGCTTCCCTGTGTGTTGGGGGGACCGGGGCTGTGCTTCCTCTGTGCCTAAGGCACCGAGGCAGGCGTTTCCTCTATTCTGTGTTAACAAAGGGTGAGCCTTACCATGTGGATCCTCAAGGAGAGGGGTTCTGTGCCGTCGAGCAGCGCGATTTCCCATCTCGTTGGGAGCAGAGTTGGTACCTGCCCCTGCCTTCGGCTTACGCTTTGCCAGAAAAAAGGGGGGAAGCTGGCCCGTGGCATGTCACCACTGCACGGGCGGAAAGTGGCCAGCCCCTCACCCTGAAGAGGCAGAGTCAGAAGCCCACGATGGTGAATACTGAGTCCTCGATGGTGTAATGGGCCCCCCGGGGGGATTTGGTGGTAGTGTCTTCGCAGGAGAGGCCTTGCATGTAGGGTAAGAACAAACCGCTCTCGCTCGGCTCACTGGGGATGCTGACTGCCTGGGGCGGACAGTTGGCCTGATGCTGACTCTCCTTAGGCCTTCTGGCCAGTCTATCCTGCCTGCATCTCCACAGCCTGGACGTGGTGGCAGGGTGGGGAAGGCTGTGTAGGGAAGATGGTCTGGACAGAAGGCCAGAGGAGGACAGAGCTCCAGGGACCCATGCGTGGGTGGGGTCCTGTGCACAAAGTGGGTAAGGGGTTAGAATAATGGGGGGGCAAGGGTAAGGGGGTTCCTTTCTTTTCTTAAAATGTTTTATTCATTCTTGAGAGAGAGAGAGAGTGCAAGTGGGGAAGGGGGGAAACAGAGGATCCAAAGCAGGCTCTGCAGTGACAGCAGAGAGCCCAAGCCAGGGCTCGAACTCACAAACCATGAGATGGTGACCTGAGCTGAAGTCGGACGCTTAACCTACTGAGCCACCCAGGCGCTCCTGGCTGTGAATCTTCTTCTGTTTCTTTCTTGGTGAGCGTGAATCTCTGTCTTTGTAGGTATGGAACCATGTGTTTTTGGAAGTGTGTGTGTACGTGGGTGTTTTGGTACGTGCACCTGTGTGCTGGGGATGTCAATGAAGGCAGACGTGTGCGTCTTGGTGTGTGCACGTATGCACCATGCATGTGTTGTGTGAATAGTGGTTGTGTGTGTGTGTGTGTGTGTGTGTGTGTGTGTGTGATTATGCATGTGTGTTCATGGAAGTGTGGTGTGTGTGTGTGTGTGTGTTCGTGCCTATATCTATGGCTCTGTGTCTGAGCTGGGTGATATGGTGTGAATACTGTGTGTGAGCAGGGCCTGGGGCCCCTCACCTGACACCCCATCCTGAAGTCGGGCAGGGCAGGGGGGTCTCGTCTCAGGCTGTCATGCCCACCCACCCTAAAGGCTTACTCCCAGGCCTGCCACCCTCTCGTCCTGTTGCCCACTGAAGTCTGGTGAAGCTAGGTAGTTGGAACCTAGCCTCCTACAGCCCCCAGCTCCCTTCCTGGGCTAAGAGGGCAAAGCTAGTGTCCCAACCTGCCCTCCTCTTCCCAGCAAAGGGGCTTTGGTCACCAGCTCTACCCACTGGGGAATTGGGGGGGGGGGCTTGGCATATGTCAGCCACACATCTAGACTCCAGGCAAGCTCAGGCCATAGACGTACATCCACACACAGAGTCCGACATACACAATTACACAATACAACCACACAGTCTGACCCAGACACACACACACAGAAACACTGTGCGACAATATACCCGCAACACATATAGGCCCATCTAGACCCAGACACACACCAAGCTACGCAAATACCATCAGATCCATCCCAACCCAGATTCATAGTCCCAGGCTCAATCACAGAAGTCACGCACAATAAACACACCTCTCTAAGCCAATACAACACGACAACACAATAACATATGACACAGAGACCCGGAGACACGCATACATATCACAGAGTCAGATGCATCCAGATAAGCTCTACACTCACACCTCAGCACAGATGTAGCCAGATGTAGAAACAGACTGACGTACACATGTATGTGACATGCACGCGTGAACACATATACCTGGAATCGTACATTCACATGGATGTAAGTACCTCACAGACCAATCTCAGATACACAGATAGGCTCAGAGACTCACTTACAAATACACACAGCCAAACATACACAGAGATACACAGTACAGACTCTCTCTCTGCCATAGACACACAGATACACAACTCAAAAAGACACACAGTGAATAAAATCATACGAGAGACTGAAAAAAAATTGTTGAAGGGGGAAAATAAAGTCATATGCAAGACTGACAAAAAAGAAAAAAAAAATGCACAGCCGGATGCTGTTCTGGGCACACAGACCCAGGAAGACAGGTCATACTTGTAGAGAGTCCGTTTCTCCTCCATGCACACAGACACACATTGACCCAATCACCCAGAAATACACTGATGAAGACATGTGACCCAAGTACATGCCCAACGGCAGCCAGCCAGCCAACAGTCCAAGGACCCTTGGATAAAGACAGGTAGATAGACCCCTCCACAGATCTTTGGGTGTCGTGATTGGGGGTGCTCAAGGCTGGTGGGGAGGGGGCTCACCCAGCAGCAGACAGAATATGTCCAAAGCCACCAACATCCTGGAGGTCCAGATGTGCAGCGGGGGGTGGGGCAAGAGTGTCCTGCATGGGTCCCCAGACCAGGCACTGGTACCAGATCACGAGCTGGGGCAAGGCCAAAATGGTATGTGGTAAATTCATCAACTGCGGGCGACAGGGTGGGCACACCCATCTGGACTGGAATTAGTGTCCTGTGAGCTGGACGGGGCCACAGAGGGGAGAGACGGGCCTGGACAGTGAATACCACTCTGGCAGGGGTGGGATCCCACTGCAGGCAGGTACTTAGATGGCCAAAGGGTTAGGGCCTTCCAGAGGAAGGGCAGGGCTGGGGAAACTGAGACCTCCCTAGCTCCAGTAGCGAGGAGCCCCTCCACCCCCATCCCACACCAGGAACTTGGTGGCTTTGGGGTAGGGCCTTGATAGTGTGTGTGTGTGGGGGGGGGGGGGGGGGGGGCCTGGAAGAAGGAAGGGTGGAACAAAAGGGGCGGGGCCTAAAGGAATTAGACAAAGTGACCAGAGGCCCCGCAGGGCACAGAGCGCCCAAGGAAGTCAGACTAGGGATGGGGGTGGTTTGAAGGCTTGGCCTGAGAAGGGGCCGCAGAGTTCCTGAAAGGTGGAACCAGGAAAGGGGAGAGGACTTTAGATAGGAAACAGAAGGACGGGGCCTGGGAAGAGGGTGGTTCTGGAGTAAGAGAGGTACCAAAGTAAGTCGGGGAGGCGAGTGGGCAGAGGGCCTGGAGGCTGATGGCTGGGAAGTGGGCAGAATCTGGTGAGAATGACCCGAGGTGGACGAGACCGAGGGGGGGTTTGGGGGGGTAAGCAGGGCCTGGAAGTCAAGAGCTGGGGGAAGTGGGCGAGGCCTGGGGAGAATGACAGAGAAGTGGGCGGGATGGGGAGGCTGATGGCTGGGCAACTGGGCGGAGCCCAGGGAGAATGACGGAGTAGTAGGCGGGACTTGGGGCGAGGGTTGGGGGGATGTCTGGGAAGTGGGTGGGACTGGGGAGTGGGACTAGGCCTGGGAGGGGGATGGGAGGATGTGGGCGGGACTCGGAGTGGGAATAGGCGGGGCCCGGGTGGCTGACGGCAGGGGGAAGTGGGCGGGGCCTGGGATAATGACAAATAAGTGGGCGGGGCTGGAGAATGGTCAGGGCTTGGGAGAAGGGTCAGACCTGGAAGGGGCCGACCCACCTTTCTTAGGGTCAAAGTCACGTCGGCGATGGCTGGTAATTCTCTCGCACCAGCGGCCTCTGCCCTGGACATTCCAGAACTTGGACGAGTCTTTGGTGGTCATTTTCTGGCCGAGAGCCAGGCGGGGCGGGCGAGCACCCCTCCCTCTGCGCTACCGATCGCCCCGCCCTGCCGAGCACCCTAGACGCGTCTCATTGGTCGGCCGCGGACCAATGGGAATCCGCCTCCCGGCTCACTGGGTCTTCCGAGGTACCGCGGGCAGCGCCGGGCAGGGGCGCGGGGCTAGGTCGTTGGAGCCGGGCGGTTGAGGGTCTTCCGTCCCACTGCAGCTTCCCGGCTCTGTTTCCGGGCTCAAGGCCTGACTGATCGGGCTCCGGCTGCCCGTCTCCCCGCTGCCCCGTCGCCACGCCCCTTCCTCACCCGCCTTTGCATTGATACCAAAGACCTAGAAGCACCTTCTCTCTACCCTCAAGTAGACCGCCCCCCTACGCCCACTCGCTTTGCAGCCGGGGGTTGAGGCTCCTGATCCACCAGGGGTCGCCCGCGGCCTACATTGGGTGCCGCTGCCAAGGAAAGGGACCTACAGATTCCTCAAGGAAGTGAAAGACAGGTCCCCGGGAGAGCCTGGGTTCCCACTTAGGAGGGGAGTGGATCTTGGACGATTTGAAGGATGGGCCTGGGTTCCTTTGGGTTTGTTCCCTTGTACTTTGCGTCTTTGTTCCAAGTGTCTTGCGTGTCTCTCTAGGTCAACTTGCGCCATTGTGTTACTTATGTGCCTCCGGTGGTCTCTGGGTGTCTGATACTGTGTGTCACTGATTGCATATCCCAGGAGGTTTGAGTCTCTTTGACGCTGTTTATGTGTTAGTGGGTATGTGTATAGATTTGATGGCTGCTCTTGTGTATCTACGAGTATGTGTCCAGGTATGTGTCTCAATGTGTGTGTGTGTGTGTGTGTGTGTCTTGTTTTGTGTGATTGTGTATGACTTGAATGCAGGTGTCTGTGGTACCCCTTTGTCTATCTGCTTTGTGGCTGCCTCCCTGAGCAAGTTGGAGAGTCCCTTCCAGGTGGTGGCCCTCCTGGGACTTCCTTCCTGGGGCAGTTGGGCTTGCTTCCCAGCAGAATGATCTGGCTTCTCATGCCAGGCCCCTCTGAGGGGTCCTGGGGGCTGGCCCTGGTCTGCCTGGGCCTTCCCCATCCCTGTGTCCTTCTACTGACCTTAGCAGGGAAACACCATTTCCTGCCCTTGATGTCATTGGTGCTAAATTTTCCCTTCTTCAGCTCGGGCTACTGGTTTCTTTCTACGTGTGTGCACACCTGACCACAATTCCGTGCTTAACATAAAAACAAAACAAAACAAAACAAAGCAAAACAGTAGCACATGGAAAATGCAGGTGGGCGAAAGCATATACAGTGAAAGAGCCACATTTGCTCACCGCAGATTCCTCTGTTGTTTTTTTTTTT